GTAACGTACGTACGTACGACTACTCCTCCTCCTCCTACCACACACACACTAGTACGTAGTACGTTACGTCCGTCCCTCCCCCTCCCCCCTCCCTCCTCTCTCTCTCTCTCTCTTGTTTCCCAAAACCAGACAACCACGAACACCCAACCCCCCCCCCCCCTCCCCCCAAAAAAAAACCCATAAATTTTCTTTGGGGAGCCTCATCCGTGAGGCATCCACCTTGGCCCCCATGACCTCCTTTCGTTTTTTAAAACCCTTCATTTGAGTGCATGTGACATCGTGTAGTCTTTGTGCATTTATTGGTGGAAATATGTTCTTGGCTTTTGTGAGTTGTTGCAAAATTTAGAAATGATTTCTTTTTCATTTCTCATGAACAAAATGTCCTTGTCAAGAATTGTGTATGCAGATATCTGAAATTGACACTTCCTCCATACCTTGGTAGGAACTGCAGCAGAAAGCAATCTAACATCTGATTGGTGGGGTCATAAGTATGGATTCATTTCGGGTGGTTTTCTTGGAGCCCAAAATGTAAAAAGAAAAGCTACCTCAGCGAGAGGATCCAAGGGTCTTGCAGCAGAAGCTGGAGATGGAAGGGTCACATTTGCTGAGGAGGATCAAGAGAAACTTTATAAGCTTGTGCAGGTGCCTATTATTTCCCACTGCATATAGTACAACTATATTCCAGTCGATGCACCTTCCACAAACATTTTAAGTGGTTTTCTAGTTCTGTTTAGACTTTCTTTAGATAAATGTGTGGAAGTTCTTGCATGTTTCACATTCTTGTATTTGCTATCATATCACAGTTTTGACTTGTCTAAGAAATTTTCACAGAGAGGAGTGTCATGTGGAATTTAATAAGCCATGGTTTATCAGATCGTGAGTGGCTTAAAGTTTTTATAAGAAAAAGTCCCTAATGATCATCTTTTTTTGTAGTCTATTTGGTTGTGGCCCACTATTCTGAATTGTTGGAAGAATAGTCCCTTTTTCCAGACAATACTATCTGAGGTCTTGTTTAAATGAGCTTACAAATATGTGCATTTGGGGACAATACCTTCTAGTGTTCATAAAATATTTACATAAACAATGATGCATTTGATGCAGCTTATAGTGTAACTCCAATATGAGAAAAATAGTTGTGAAAACTGATGCATGTTCTGTAGCTTTATATCGGTGCATTGAATGCTCTAGAGTCTAGGACTTTCAATGGAGTGTGACAGGAATCTACTGCTCTTTTGTAGCCCAAGGGTTACCAGAGGATGACAACGAAATTGCTAATTCAGGATATGTGCATGTTGTGTCGCACCAATAGTTGCACTACACTAATTGGGACGTCCATTTTTTGTTTGACGTTTAACTAAGTCTAATTGATTCAAAAATCTTTTTACAATTGTATATATCATACGTACTTAAAAATCTCTTCACAAAAAATTGAGACCATCAAGCTATTTGACATCACCCCTATTCTATCGTCTCAATCTGTGATATATATACTGTTTATCCATCAACAAAATTGGTCCCTAAGGTAGAGCCCTTCGAAACTCCTGCTTTGGTCAAGGAGTCTGCCCACTCATTAGATTCCCTCCAAGTATGTTGGTAGTCTATATCTCTGTTACTTGAAACATGAGCAATTTTCATTGAATATGTTAGTTAGTGTTCAGGGACATTTGTCCTTTCCACTTATCCAAGCAATCACAGAGGCAGAATCCCCTTCATAGATGACTCTACTCCACTCAGGGGTTGAAAACCCACTAGTAAGGCCCAAGCCTTAGCCCCTGTTTAATTGCACCGATACAATAGGCTGGAGTAAGTTTGTTAAATTCTACCCCGGTCATGTCTCACTTCCCCTCCAACACCAGCATCCCCTGGGTTGTCTTTTGAACTTTTGTTGAAAATTAGCTTAACTGATCTATTGGTCAAGGACTTCAAAACTCCTGCTTTGGTCAACTAGTCTGCCCACTCATTAGACTTCTATATCTCTATTACTTGAAACATGTTGAAAACCCACTAATAAGGCCCAAGCCTCAGCCCCTGTTTAATTGCACTGATACAATTGGCTGGAGTAAGTTTGTTAAATTCTGCCCCAGTCATGTCTCACTACCCCTCCAACACCAGCATCCCCTGGGTTGCCTTTTGAACTTTTGTTAAAAATTAGCTTAACTGATCTATTGGGTCGTGGATGCTAGTTATTAGACTTTTTATTCTCAAGATCATTCATTCTGTAGCTCCAAAGTTGTGTTTGGTTCTTGCCCCATGCTATCACCGTGGCCTTAACTAGTTTTCTTGTCCTAGCGTCTTCTTGTTTTCAATTTGAAGCATTTAAATCATTGCACTGGATCCATGTCAACCATAATACTGCAAGCGGAGTCAGCTTCCACAGGATAACACCTGCTTCAGGAAATGGTGGTGTATACCTCTGCTTTAGTAATGCCTGGACTGAGGCCGGATGGCCCAACTCTGGCGAAATAAGCCTAGAACATAAAGCCATATAGGGCTCATAGCTGGAGAGGGTATGAAAAGATGGTTTATTTATTCAGGTCCCTGTTTGCACATTACACAAACATTAGGAATAACCATAATTTTCACTCCTAGGTGATCAACTGTTAACACCTTATGGATTGCCAAGCAATGCTCCGTGTTTTCGAGGGGCAGGAATATCGTACTCCTTGGTGGCCTTGGCATACGCTTCTGAACATATGTTTTACGGAAAAAATCCCCCCTGCTGTCCAGCATTTAAAGAATAGGCTCCTCTTTCTTGGCATTATAGGACTGCTGCAACTTTGAAGCAGATGAAGCAATGCATCCACCTCATCCTCCTTCAATGACCTCGTCAGGCATGGAGTCCATGTAGTCTGATATCTGAAACCTTGTGCTGCTTCGTGAAACTTTGTATTTGGATTCGAGGCAAGCGCAAAGAGGCTGGTTTACTCAGCAGTTTGCTGTCCATGCCTGGTGCCCAACCAGCACCTCACCTTCCTCCCGTTCCATATCTGAATTAAAACATTCTGCGTAAACTTCTACTGTAGTCTAGAAGGGTGAGGACCTGAAACTTTCACTTAACCTGTCTCAAGCCCGGATAAAGGAGGTTAGTTGTGTTGGGTAGGCAGCCAGCATAAAACTTTGCCAAACTTTTTATGAATCTTGAATCTACATTATTTGCCTATGCTAGCCTCACTGAAAGTATGATCTTTGATTGAGCAGACTGGCGGACTAGGATTCGTGTAACCGACCCCAAATAGTTGGGAAAAGGTTCTGAAACGTCCTACAGAATTTCCCCTTCAGTTTCATTGGTATACCAACGAGGATAAGATAGGTTACTTTTAAATGCACTTTTGTAGAAGCCTTGGCTTTCATCTTGTTGGGTCGATCATAAAACAAGAACAGTTCATTTCCTGTTGGCATTTCTCCTGCTGCCTTTGATTGACGATTCTCTTTCATGCTTCAGTCTTGGCCATTTGTTGTCCTTAAAGGCTTAGGAAGTATGTGAAGGAGATACTCAATGCACCCTTTAAGAGCAAAAAGAGATAAGTTATGAGGACATGGACATGAGCGTCAGTTTTTGACATGGATATGGTGTGTTATCACAGCTCTGTGGAAAAGAGCATGTAGGACACAACATATCTGGGCAATACAGAAGTGTCAATATGTGTACATAAGGTACATGCATATCTGTATATAAAAATATAACATTAATTCCATCAAGAAAATTAGCTAACATGTGCATGTCCGAAATTCCTGATGCACGCATCAAATCATGGGTTGATGTATTTACATTTTGGTTATGATTGTTCACCTCTCTGGACCATCCGATATTTCAACACTCAGCCTTGTCTGTATGACTTGAAAACAAGTTTGTCACACACCCGGTGACACTGCTTGGAATCGACTGGTGAGTTTGAAGTGTCAAAACACACGCAGGATGCAGTTTGATGCACTATGTCTTTGTCACATAGTTGAAAATAAAATTGTAAAAAAGAATCTGTAATCTATGGCAGAAAATTTTGTCCTTTGCTTTCATTCAGTTGCCCTTGCATTCCTAAAATGCGAAAGGCTTAAAATAGATTGCTCTGTGGATAAGTTTTTCAGATGTACTTTCTGACTGAAGAGTCTCAAAACTGAAAGAAATGTTATTTGGCTCTAAGCCCAAGAATTGGCTAAGTCACTAAGAAGCATCGAAATAGAAACAATGATGGAACTGCTGCCATTTTGCTTAGCTGCCATTGCCATGTACTCTCTATCCCCTCAATGAGACTTATAACATTTTGCAGAAATATGGTCAAATTTTACCCATTTTTGCTATTTGGAGAGATGTTCCATTGTAAGTGGTACTTTTGTGAACTTTTAGAACTGTTGGGCTATCCTTCCAATTTTATTGGAGGTTTCTAGAGAGAATATGGTCATAGAAGCATTCCCTTTTATGCATATGAGCACTATTTGCAATTTGGTCTATTTGGGGTTATCATTCTGTTGAATCACTGAAGGATGGTATTTATGGGTTTATTTTCATCCCATGAATATCTGTGTAGGCCTAGATTTAACAAATTAATGATAAATAAGATCCTTGGATAACTTAGAGAGCTCAAGAGTTCTTGGATACGCCTTGTCACATGAGACATCAAAAGAGCTAAAAGATTATAAAGGGTTGTTGTCAAAGAAAAAAGCTGATTTTATTCACTGAAAATGAGTGATTATTTACACGTATAAAATGATTTAGATATGCTTATAGGCCCTTTCATGCGTATTCTATAAGAAGAATGTGTAAAATGACCTAATTAACCCTGGAATTGTATTCCTCATCCATTCTCATTTGGCATTCACAGGATAAAGCCACCACTGGGAAGCAGGGATTGGGCATCAAAGGCCGCTCCAAGAAGATAGCTGGACATCGCTGGGGAGGAAAGAAAACTACATTTGATGATAGCGAGGATAATGAAACTTCTGATGATGGTGGCTCTTCAAAGAGGAAATATAGCATGTTGGACAGCCATGTTGAAAATGAAGAACCCAAACCTGAAGCGAAAAAGCTATGCAAGTCCAAAATAGCTGTTGAAGAGGAAAAGATCAGAGATCCAAAGCCCAAACTAAAGAAGCTGTGTAAAAAGCTACTTCTTCAGGTAATTAATACAAAAGTTTCCTTTCTCTTGGTCATACTTAGTTGCCCCATTGATCAACCAATTTTTATCAATGAAGTGAAGTGGGGAAATGGTGCACAAACTTTAGAGATTTGTGTGATAGATATGTTTTTTCCGAGCCATGGAGCATTTGTTGCAGATTCCAGGGAATTGCCTTAGATTGAAGCAACTAAAGAAGCTTCTTGAGGCAGAGTCAACTTCCATTGTTTCCTTCTTCGCTTGCTTCTCTTCGAAGAAGGAAGCCCTCTTGTACTTGAGAGAAAAGGTATGGGCGTTTCTCTGCTGATTCATATAATTAGGTGCCAACCATACTTTCTTATAGCATATGCACAGAATCTCCCAAAATTTCTTAAATTTTTTTGTGAAAATATATTCTAATGGTTTCAGAATATTTAAAAAATGTTGTTAATTTGAATATGATACTGAAATAATTATCCTTTTTCGGTGGACAAAATTCATGTTGTTTGAATGATCCATGTGAGCATTGCACGTGTGCTTATCTTCAGTTTGAAATATGGTGGTTTGGTTGCCAAAGATTGTGCTTTGCATTTGTCATTTTGGTTATCACAGTTCTTTTTAAGTTGGCATTAGGGTAGTGTCGTCATGTTAAAAATGGCAATTGAATGGAAGTTCTTTCATTCTTTGAACCGGTAGCATATTCACATCAAACTAGGCATCACGGATCTATTCTTATCTCGTGTTTGTCTGCTGAATTCATTGCTAATCTTTTGACATGTTGGTTGAACTTCTGCAGCTTCAGAAAAGTGGGAGATTCAGTTTTGAAGGGAAAAGAGTGACTCTAGTATCGCAGAGCGATTGAAGATTTTGTAGAGGAGTTATGTCTTGTAACGGATTTTTAGACACATGAGATCATCGAGCGCAAGGCTGTTGGGCTCGACAATTTTGTTAAACAATTTATTATTTAGATTTTGTTTTTTATATAATTTGTTGCTTGGTATGTTTAATTGCACGATTAATTGCATGATTTTTATTACTAGAGAAATAAGTTCAAAATTTTGTCGAGTATTACTCTTAAGGGTGCGGTTTGTATAGAACTTAAGCTCTAAACAATCAAATTAGAGCCTACCTTCAAATAGTGTCGAGAAATGTGATTTCAATATTGGAAATCATTGTGACATATTTAAAATATATTTTTTATTTATTTATAAAGTTTAAAGCTTTAAAAATAGTGTAGATCAATATATTTGTGAAAATTTGCAAATCTTTAAAATTAACGGTCTAAAAATGCATTACAAAATACATTATTTTCAAAACTTGAAATGTATTTATTTTCTCATGTCCATGCATCTTGATGTCGAGATGATCAATTTGAAGATATTTGGACATCAAAACAACTTCTTCTAGTGAAATTTTTGAGGTACGCTCAAATTTGATTGTTTAGAGCCTCAGCTCTATATAAACTTTCTTTACTCTAATGGTATTATATAAGGACATAAAATCATTGTTCAATGGCTACCTCATTGTTGTATTTATTGGAAATTTAGTCAAAACTTTGTTTACTCTAATGGTAAAGTTTACTCTAATGGTATTATGTAGGCATAAAATCATTGTTCAATGGCTTTAATGTATCCGTACAATAACTGTAAATCATAATCTTATCATGTGTGGTCTTATCAGGTGCAATTAATTTCCACCATTATTAAGACATGTAGCCCTTAGTTACATCATGTTGCTGCTCTAGTGAAACTGTTATCGTTTGCTGTGATATGTTATCTGAAGGCAATTTTGGATCGAAGAAATAGGTGTTTCCTGTTTGCTGCTATTCATGAATCAAGAATTTTTTTTTAAAAAAATCCTTTTTGTGCCTCAGCTAAAATTTGTGGCAAATACAGTGGTTTATCATACAAGTGGGGATTAAAAACAGAACTATTTTTTTTGGGTAATTAAAAAACCAGAAGTAAAAAGACAGACAACTTGCTAAACAATTTATGCGCTAGCATGTTTATAAACCTTTGTATCATAGGTATGTATCCGTGGATTTGGGAACATGTATATAACATTCATGTTTGACATTTTAAAAACAAAAATTCGGACACTCGTTGAAATCTTCTTATAAAAGTATTTCAATGTAGTATTTCAATGTGACCTTATACTAATCTCCATTTATCGCAATAGACATTCTTTTGGTTGAAGGACCAAATATTGAATCTGACATTTTTAATACTCGTATGTGTCAGACCCTAATACACATAACATCTTTGTAAAATCAGTCAAAGTTTTGGAGATGCACTAGTCACGTGGCATGCGGTATGCAATCAGGGTCCAACCATCTATCAAGGCCTTCATGGTAATTATGGTTCACGTCTGCTTTCATCACAAGAAATGGGCGGTGGATGCGCCATCTGTGTATCATAAAAAAGTTATATATATATCCTATGGAATTATTACTGATATGTATATATATGCTATTCCTTATATGAAAGGTATACTATAGAAGGTGTACCAAAAAAGTCAACTTGCAAAAGTTATTTTGGTCTGGGTAAAAATTTTATTTTGCTCCTAATTATGAAATTCAAAGCTCCAAATATGGTGCAAGTTAATTAAATCTTTACGCACTTGAAAATCTTGAAAATGTACTGTCTAGATAATGTGTTATAAGATGGACATTGTTTTTTAAGACTTGATATTAAATTTTTTTTTGTAGCCATATATCTCTAGGTCAAGATGATTAATCAAATTATTTTTGACATCTGAACAACCTTTTTAAATAGATTTTTAAGATGCATCTTGCTTCTATAGTATAAGGTTGGGAGCCGGTTTCTATGCAGCCACACCTGCATATGTAAAAATGCAGGCCTATTAATAGATCTATTTTTTAGATGGATTTTTGGATTTAATTTTTAAGCACATGTAATCTTTAACATGGACATCATGAATATGAAAAAATTAATAAATTTTAAAACCTATAAATAATAATTTTAGTAAAAAAACATTTGGATTATTAGTTTCTATTGTTTTTAGATAAAACACCTACTAGCATCCATCTTTAAGATTGGTGCTTTACACTTTTTGGACCGCATATGTAGTAATGCGGTCCAGCCCGCATGAGATATCATGGTAGTGACGTTGAACGTAAAAGTACACGTGGCATCATAGTACACGCGGACGCTGGGAAGGTTAAGTTGTTTACATTATACATATGTTATATATTAAAAAGTCGCACATCTTTACCAATCCGTTGTAGTCTAGTTGGTTAGGATACTCGGCTCTCACCCGAGAGACCCGGGTTCAAGTCCCGGCAACGGAATGTGATTTGTTTAGTGCTTAAAATTAAGTCTTATTTTTTGGCTAAATATATTGAATTAATCCTCTAAAGAACAATAATCGTTCTTATTTTTTGGCTAAATATTAAATCAATCCTTTAATAGAATGCTTCTAATTTTCCAAATTAATTCTATGTGCTTTTAATTTGCCGAAATTAATTCTTATTTTTTGGCTAAATATTAAATTAATCCTTTAAAGAACAACAATCATTCTTATTTTTTGGCTAAATATTAAATTAATCCTTTGATGGAACAATAATTCGTTGTTGCTAAATATTAAATTAATCTTAATAGAACAATAATCATTCTTATTTTTTTGGCTAAATATTAAATTAATCCTTTAATAGAACAATAATCCGTTTATTTTGCCTCTAAATTTAGTGCTTTTAATTTGGGTCTAAATTAATTCTTATTTTTTGGCTAAATATTAAAATAATCCTTTAAAGAACAACAATCATTCTTATTTTTTGGCTAAATATTAAACTAATCCTTTGATAGAACAATAATCCGTTGTAGCTAAATACTAAATTAATCTTAACATAACAATAATAATGCTTATTTTTTGGCTAAATATTAAATTAATCCTTCAATAGAACAATAATCCGCTGTAGTCTAGTTGGTCAGGATACTCAATTCTTATTTTTTGGCTAAACATAATAGAATCTTTTTTTTTGGCTAAATATTAAATTAATCCTTCAATAGAACAATAATCCATTGGAGCTAAATATTAAATTAATTTTAATAGAATAACAATCATTCTTATTTTTTGGCTAAATATTAAATTAATAGAACAATAATCCGTTCTAGTCTTGGTTAGGATACTCAATAATTATTTTTTGGCTAAATATAATAGAACGGCAATCATTCTTATTTTTTGGCTAATTTTTAAATTAATCCTTCAATAGAAAGATAATTCGTTGTGGTCTAGTTAGTTAGGATACTCGGAATCACCCGATAGACCAGGGTTAAGGCCCCGGTTGCTTTTATAAATTTTGACTCTAAATTCATTTTTTTAATCCTTTAACAGAACAATAGTCAGTAAATTGTAATTTTTAGTAGTATTTTGGTAAATTTTCGGTGCATAAAATATCATACGAAATGAAAGATGCGTCGTGTATGGCTATCATCTTCTTTTTTAAAAAAGTAGCTTGGACCATATATTTCTTATAGAAATCGTAAACAATATTTTTCCTTTTTAGAAATGATTTAAATGATATTGGTAAGGGCAGGTCCATGTGAAAATGTAGATGTTATAGATCCCACTTTTATTACCGTTCACTAATGGAAACGTTCGGTTTAGATGAACCTGGCCTATCTGAATTCCAATGTGCCGCTTCGCATGTCTTCCTATGGGTTACTTCTCAAATTCAGTTCAATTTAGTTGTGCACCTCTGCAACAAGCAGAAGATCTCTCTCTCTCTTTCTCTCTCTCTCTTCCAGCTGAAAAAGGTACGGTCTTCCTTTGCATCTTATTTATATTTCTTGTTTCTTTTTCCTCTTTTCTTTTTCTATTGCTTTCCTTTTTTCGCTCTTCTCTTCTTTATGGCCTGGTTTTGATCTCATTCTTGGACCATTGATTTTATAATGAAATGATAGATTCTAGCTTTTGTGAAAATGGGAAAAAATTCCGTTGCTTCTGCACGCTTCACTTCAGCTTGGAATCAGATGGCATACTTTTCATGGATGAATTTGGTTCCCCATGATCAGTCGTGTTTCAAATGTTTCTTCAATCCCTGAGCTTCTTTCATATTCAAAGTATCTAGGATTTACAGTCATATTGTGTGTCATGTGTTAATATTTCTCTGTAATATTCAAGTTTAGGTAGTAGTTATGCTTCAAAGAATAAAGACATATTGCGGTTTCATTTGTTCATAGTTGTTTGATTTTTTGTAAGTTTTGATTAGTCTACTTAGTTCTTTGTGACCATATTGTACTCTTGATCACATTATTTTGTTTTAAATACCAGATGTGCTGGCAATTTGATATCCATTCTCAAAAGTGAAATTGGGCCAATCTCTTTTCCCTGATTCAATTGATGCTCAGAGCGAGTATATTTGTCACATGACTGTTATTCTTTTGATAATTTGCTAATCTTTTTTGTATTTTATTTCTCTTCGGATAAGTTCCAATAGGTGCCATGCAATATGTGTATCTTAGGGTTTCCTGATTGGTTTGGGTCCTTTAAACTACCTTAACTTCATCTCTTAGATGATTTACTTTATCCAATCTCATACCTGGAATGAGGTATATCTCACATTGAATCATTTAAGGGTTACTTTGAAGCTAAGTTTTGATGAAAGTTCTTTATGGTACTCCGGTCCTTTTAGGGTGGGGTGTATGGTAAAGGACTGTTCCCTGTGATTCAAAAAGCAGACCGCCCAGCGCCTAGGCGGTCCAGAAGGCCTGGGCGCATCGCCTAGGCCTAGGCGGTAGGCTGGCGCCCAGCGCCTAGCCGGGGATTTTCCTCTGTTTTTTGGGCAAAAAATTAGGGTTTTTAGAGCCAAATTTAGAGAGAGATAGCCCCAAAAAACTCTAGATTATGGTGAATTTTTTAGGATCGAAGGATTACTCAAAGTTAACAAAAATTGATCAAAACATCACCCATTGGTATTTTATTTACTTTGTAATGTTTTGCAAGTTATTAGGGGGTTTTTTTAGAAGATATTGAGTATTTAAAAGCATCTTTGATGTGGAAGTTTGATGATCGAGCAATCAAACTCAAAGTAAGTGATTTTTTTTATTGTTTTAGTAATTTGCATTATTTTTTAGATGTCTTTTTCGGGATCTAATAGGAGTGGTGATCTCGGTTGGAAATATGGCTATAACCCTGATGCTAATGATAAAAATTGCACAACTGATACTGACATAACTGCTGAATGCCAGAATCCTTATTTGGATTCAACTGGCCCGCCCAGGTTCTGGGCACCCGCCTAGGCACTGGCCTCCCAGGACCCCCCCAGGCACTTTTTGAAACTATGACTGCTCCCAGTGCCAGTAAGGTTGTGATTGAAATCTGTCATTGACTTCCCAAAGCCTTCCTCCCATACTCTAATGTAGGAGATTATTCTCTCAAACCATTTGGTTGGAGAATGTGTATATTATGGAAGAAAACTTGGTTGGTAATCATAAAAGGGATATGAATTTCCACCACATGCTTTGTGAGACCAACTTGGGAACTGACTTGTTGTAGATACTCTATTGTGATAATAAGGTCCTTTCCTCATATGCGGCTTTCCTCTGGAACACCTCAAGTGTTCTTACCTTTCTATTTTTTTCTCTACCATTTCATGAAGGCTCGAAGAAACAACATCTACTTCAAGATTTTTTTCAACGAAGTATTCCATGCATTGTTCTCAAAAATAAGGAATTTGATTTGTAATGCATTTTTAAATATTCTTTACATTATGGTAAAGATTAAAATTGTTTTGATCATTAATACCCTCTTTTATAGTTTCTTATCTTTTTTAGAAAATTTTAAAAATAGCCCTTGGAAAATATAAAATGGGTTAAAATCCAGTTTTTTCGTTAATTTTCAACTTCATTTGAATGTGTTTTGTTTTAATCATTCTTTATATGCTTTTCATATTTTAGTAGGTTTTTTTTTGTATTTTTTTTCAACACTTTTTTGACCGGCCGGGACTGGCCCTGTTAAAGCGGTTGAATCGGGCGATTTACCGGTTAGGCCGGTTAAACCACTTCCAGGCCCATGTCCGGTTAACCGTTCTGGTTCGATTTTGTGAACACTGATTCCATGTGAATTTTGAACTGTTATCAATGGATAACACTTAATATGTAGCTCTTGGTTTTTTTAAGGAGTGGGACAGTCAGTGTAGTGATAGAGACCTCTTGAATGCAAGTCAAACCAACCATAGTAATAGCGACCTCTTGATTGTAAAGTCAAACCAACTGTCTTTTATTGCTATTTTAGATAAGAGGGCACTGCAAAATGCTTGTACATCACATAAGTCTTATAACTTAGAGATTTGTCCCACAAATATGGGAATGACTTCATAAGATTTCACTATACGATAAGCTAAAAACTTGGATGACCAAGGCTATCATGGCTAAAGTGGAAAGATTACCAAAATTGGCTCAAGTGATATGACCAATTCCTTTTTAATTCATCTCTGGAGTAGTTTCCTTGATCTCAGATCCTGAGTCACCAGACGAACAGAAACATGGTTCATGTAATTTTAAGGAATATCAAGGGCTCTTGAAAGGGCGATTTTCCCAGAGAATGAGGAGTAAGAATATACTGATCCAACTGGGGGACCAAGAATATACTGATCCAACTGGGGGACCTGATAGAGCTGTTCATCAGTGATATGCACAGAAATATGGCAACTGACAGGATAATGACAACCAAAACATAGACAAGTCACCAATCTTTGATATTCAGTGCCATTTCAAACAAGCAGTTAGATGTTTTCATAAAAGAGTTATTTTTTGAGAAGTCTTGGAAGGGCTAGAACTAGTGATTAAGTTTTCTAGGATTGTCAAGTGATTAATTGAGGGGTCAAGTTCCTACTCATCAAAATGTGTCCACAATGACAAGTAGTTCTCCCAGACAGAACTCCTCTTTGTCTTACCAATTGTCTTGTTGTAATTGCATGTCTCATGGCACATGGCTAGAGTCCATAATTTTAACCACTAGACGTGTTGTGAATCAGATGTTTAGTATCTGGCCAGCCATTACAAACAAATAAAGGGAATATTTTTGGGGAATATTTAACAAGATGAGACTCATTGGGTCATGAGCATCCTGGCTGGAGTCCACAGATCTCTTTGCGTGGATACTCTGTTTCCAGTATTTGATTTTCTTTTTTGGGTCTTTTCTTTTTCCTTTTCAGTTTCTATTATTCTTTGATTCATTCTTATTCCCACTGGGGTGTTGGATGTGGTAGTCTTTTATTGAGTAAAATACTTTGCATATTTACTGAAAAATTAAGAAGCACAAACCATCATGATAGGGGTGGGAATTGGGTTAGGTCAACTCGATGGATCGACCCTACTAGGTCTGGGTATGGACCCAGATTATGGACCCAACGGGTCCAGATCTGGGTCCAGCTTAGATCTTTTTGGGTCGTGTCCAGGTTGGGGTCACCTCAACCTGATTCAACCCAGTATATATTAGTATAATTGAATTTTAGCAATATTCAGTATATAATGTAAAATATACTATATATATATTATTTATGTATAGACCCAGCTGACTTGGACCCAACCCTGGTCCCGGTCGAACTTATAACTAGTCAGGTCGGGGTCGATGGGGACCTGACCGACCCATTCCCACTCCTACATCATGAAGACTTGGCCAGGATAATTCAATAATATGGCTCGCAAGATACAAAACAAATCCTCCTGAGATCTGTACTACTGTAATTGAGGTTAGTCAAATATGTATTTGTCACATGCATGCAAAATTTTATTGAGATCCACAGGTTGAGCATTACTTCAAGAGAGTATATTTTTTTGTATCTTAAAAAAAAAAGTTCAAAATTAAGAAATGGCTTTTGTATTTTTCATAGAGACCCACTGACGAAATACAAGGAAGGGATAAACATTCAAAAAGAAAAAAAAACAAAGCAAAAAAAAAAAAAACAAGAGAGGGATGCATATAAAATCAGATCAACATTTAAAAGGTATTTGTCTGATCAATAGATGCTGCACAAGCAGTTTCTCCAAGAAAAGTTGTAGATCTCTTCTTTTGTGGTTTTTTCTCTTTGCATCTTCAAATCAGAGGCCAAACAAGCGTGGAAAAAGGTCCTAATAAATTATTAATAACTTGGAGAACAAAAGCCTTTACCTGCCCTGTAATATGTTGTCATGCCTTTCACATGTCTGACAAACCGTTTCATTTACAATGCCATGCATATTTAGATCACAGTCTGCATTTGGAGTTTTATAAGTCAATCCTCCATCACTCAAACCTTGATGGCCTTCAGAAGCTTTTGTCTATGTTTTTTTGGTGCACAATTTCAGTTCGGAACTTGCACTTGTATTACATAAACCATAGTATCTCTAATCCATTCATGTCTTAGGGTAAAGTCTAAGAGAGTGTGCTTGTATGAACCAAACCCTTCATTTCCTGTTGTAATGGTTCCACATCCTTGTCAAAATAAAGGTATTTGGGTATCCCACCATTGTTTACGACTTGCTCTTTGGTGCAAATGCCATAGACTGAATGCATCGGTGTTTTGCTTAATAGAGTATTTGGATATGCAATATTTATAGAGCCGCGTGGGGATTGTCAAAGCACTCATTTAGAGTGTTCCGTAAGATAAGTAATTGACAAACAGCAAAAACCATCTTCACTTTTTGCTTTTATGGTGCAAACCCCTTATGGATTTCCTTGATGTCGTAGCAAAGCAAGTGGTGGCTACAAGTTAAGCACTTTGAAACGAGTTCAAGATGAAAGGCACTTCAAAAATTGTGCTTTATGACCTAATGCAAGAGACATTTCTTTACAGGTGACTTTGTTTGTGTGATGCATTTCATTCAAAAGCAAGTGCTTCACTTTGCGAGGAAAAAGTCTAAAATGAGTGCTTTGCTGTACTTAACATAAAGCCACTTCTTTAATATGATATTAGCTGCTGCAAAACATTGTAAATGTTTGAATTCCTTAATTAACAGAGCTTTTCAAGCCTGCAAAGCACTTGAAACTGACTCCTTACTTACCAACAAAGCCCCTAAATGATGTTCCTTGTTTTTTTGGGGTGAATATAATTGATGTTCCTTTCTTTGCTTGACATTTTTTTCGTTTTGAAATACGTCTTTGCTTTACATTAACACACTATTGTAAGATGCCTTCTGTGAGAACAATCTAGAGTGAGACCTTTGCTTAACCAATAAAGCACTGAATAGGAGTGCTTTTCTTGTGCCTGCCAGTTACTCTGCTAGGACATAAAAATAACCCTAGTAGGAACTGCTATCAGTAGCTTTTCTTCGGGCTACCACTGGCTTTGCAACAACAAAAATCATCCGAAAGATATCTTTCCCATCGCTAGAATGCGTTAGAACATCTAATAAGGTGGGCTGGTTGTGTTCATTTCCCACCCAGCCTTACTCTCATGTGAGTTTTTTCTTTCCAATTTTATATTTTTAATCTCTGATCAATAGCTAGGCTAAGCTTGTTTTGGTCTCCTTCCCTGAAGTCTTAAACAGACTCCGAGTGGGCGATAAAATTGATGTTTGGTTTAGTCGGTTCAATGCATTCCTACTGGGGTTTTTGTCCTTTTCCCATTTTTGGTGGGTGGGGGGGTTTGGTGGGGGGAAAGGGGGTTGTGTGTAATGGAAGTGGCAGAATATTGGCTGACCATTTCTTTAGGCGTGTTTGCATATGGCTTATAGCTTGGCATAAGTTTTTTTTTTTAGAATGTTTGAAACACATTTTCGGTGTTTTGCCCATATGATTACCATACATGCCATGGATACTGGCCCCATGCAAACATCCATTTATGCAGGCCTTGTTTGTAAAATCACGCTATCCATGAGTTTCACACCATCCATACATGCCCTTTAATTTATACTTTCCTGTTCAGCTAAAACACTTCATAAAGCATTTCAACAATGATAAAGATTTTAGACCTTTAAATTGGAGTAGAAGGCAGCCCAATATGTAATGCGATATATACCAGATCGTGGATGTTACCCCAATGTGCCGGCCCCAATTCCCATAGGTACTATAAACGGTTTCGCTGGGCTGCTGATCCTCCTTGTAATTTGTCAATGCATTGGTATAGTAGCCTCCTTCAGCATTGAGACCACAGCACCACTGAATTATACCATGATATGGGGTTATGGTTATGAGTACTTTCTGAAGTTTAGTTTGATAGTGCCTGGTTCCCCTATTACATGAAAAATGATGCCAAGGCCAATGCTTTGCCGTGGTCTGGTAAGTTTTTATGGGTATTTGAAGCTAAATGCTGCTGATCCCTTTGGTTGACTTCTTACTTTCTTGTGTTATCTTTGCACAGCCAGAAGTCATGTAGTTGTTGGCATCTTTGGTATTATAGAGAATAAATTTACCAGTGGCACAATTTGGCTCTGAACTGTTTAATTGATGAAAAAGTTAATTTTTATATGAGATTTGTAAAATTTGAGTGACAGATCTCTCTAGTTCTCTGTAAGCGGCCTTCTGTAACTTAAAATTGGATTAGGTAAGTTGTTGAAGGCATGAAAGCAACGTTTGCAAGCAAACTGTTACGTTAGTTTAGCTTCCCTATTTCAGTAGTGTAGTTTGAAATTGTAGCAAAGTTGTGGTAAGTTTTGTGTCTAGCATGTATATGCCAGAAAAAGATGTACTCTCTCTAGTTGTGACACCAGATGCAGTTAGTGTTGTATGAGTTAGTAAGCTTTTGTTTATCTCATCTAGTGTAGGGCATATTATCAATGGGTAGGAATCTTGTATGTAATGCAGTGGAATTCATTGTGGGCAAAGGAAAGACCTAAAACTTGCGAATTTTGGTTGTTTACACTCATCAAAGCACTCATTTACCTGTAATTTTGGAAGCGGTTCGATATTTTCTGAATGCAAGCATAGGTACTGTTTTTACGAACTGTTTAAATTAAGTGTATTATCTCATTTTCCATGTAGCAATGTCGATAATGGACGATTTATCAGAAGGAATTGAGGCTTTATCATTTACTTCTGAGGAGCCAAACCATAGGAACGACCAAATTACTCCAGAAGACGCAGCCTGGGTAGATTCCTGTCTTATCAAAGAATTGGGGTCCCATCCTATGTCTATGAATGGCACTTTAGATGCACTGAACGAGATGTTCTCCAATATACTCAACCCTGATACTGTATCAGATTATATTGCTTCCTTCCCTTATTTTGACAATAGTGGAAAAATCGAAGAAGAGTCCACCTCTGTGGTCCACAGTTTTCCTCAGAATTTATCCCCATCCTCTGAGAACATGGAAGAATTTGGGGATCTGGGTCTGGAAACAATGGCAGGGGTGGAAGATGGAGAGTCCCTTGAAGATATTTTTAAGGTGTGGGATCTTAACACAGAGTGGGAGGATGATGACGTTGAACTTTTGAAACAATTGACCGAAGCTCTTGTGGTATCGAAGAGACACTCACCACCTGTTCTAAATCGGAGACTGGATTCTGGAGAAACAGAGGGGCTTAAGGACATGGAACAATCATTTTTGGATGAAGAAAGAATTAATGCTCTCACTGCTGGCTTGAAGAATCTATCATTGACCCAATTTTCTTTCGATGACTTAAAGTAAGCTGCCCTTTAATTTGTACAGTCTTTTGCTAGCAAGAATGTATATCTTTTTAGTTTTGTATTTGGATAAATTTACGAACTTCTCTTATCTATGCGCATGGTTTGCCTGCTTGCATTTCCCAGTCATTTGATGTGTAATTGATAGCAGATGGGCAAGCTTTTTATGCTTCCCCTACAACATAAAACTTATATACTTCTCCTTATCCAACCCTCTATGCTGAATGGAGGGCTAAGATTGCCCCAATCTCAATGTCACGTCTCTACACTAATTAATTTTTAATTTTTTTTTATAAACTATTTTGATACCAAATTTTGTACGCTCAATCCTCTATTAAACTCGCACTAGCGAAACATATAAAAAAAGTATTTCCAAAAAAATAAAATGATCAAAATACCCCTGAAAGTTTCAAGGGGTATTTTGGTCATTATGTTTTATCAAAAAAATTATTTTTAATATTTTTTATAGTTACGCCCTAATGAGAATATGGCATGTATCAAATTTCATATTCATACAATTTGTATAAAACACAACTAAAAATAAAATATTTTGAGACGTCGGATCTAAAATCAAATGGTGAGTGGCTCTCTTGATCAAAATTGGACGGCTGGATGGTAGGGGAAGCATAGATCTTCTATGCTGTAGGGGAAGTAAAGAAACCTTTCCCTATGCAGATTGAGTATATACATTAGCTTATAATGATGTTGATAAAAGGCTTCTGGTGTACTTCCCTTTTAATTTTCATATCATGGTTTGGTCAAAGAATCTTCAAATTGAAGATGAAAGAACCCCTTCAACATGAATACTTAAAACAGCACAACTTATGTTCTTAGCTAATGGACCTAGTTCACTCAAATAGATGTGCCTCAAAGATGGGATGCCCTCAAAGGTGGGATCATTACCCCTTGTCTGGTTGCAAATGAAAATAAATCTACACTTTTTTTGTCAGTTCAAAATGTAGATGGCTATTTATTAGATCTTCGTGAACTGTATTTAAATCATCTTGGTTTGGGTTAGGCTGCCACTTCCCGTTGGCATTTGCCTAGAAGTGAGTTGTAAAAACCACACCTCAACTACACACAAACACTTCACTTCTTCTAAAAAGAAATTCAACTCAGCAAATTTCTCCTTTGCTGCTTGATCCTTGGTTTTAAGAAATCTTGGTACCTTCGGAGATGATATTTTTACTGGAATCAATAGAAAATGAATCCAGAAACTCAAACCAATTTGATTCTGTTTAAATAAATTTTGAAGCTTCAATCGGAATATCTGCACTTAGAATGAAGAAAATTGACTCTGATTCTTCACTTAGAAAAATAAATAAAAGAGATTTGAGTCCTACTACTCCCATGACTTGAAACCTTTGAAGTTAACACAAACACCTAAAAAATCAAGAAAGGGACTCCAATTCCTAAAAGAAGCAAATATTTCCCATAAAATATATAGGGTGAGGTTTATATGAGGTGCCCCTTATATTATAGAAGTAAATCGCACCTCAAGTTTTTTCTAGAAGATGCAGTTCTAGTTCTAATGTTGAATACTGTACAATGGTATGAAAATCTATTTTTGCCCCTAATTTTAAAATTTGAAATTTTAAAAAAAGTACAGATCTAACAGACCTATAAACGTTTGAAGATTTGAAAGTAGACGGTTAAGATAACTTGTTACAAGATGCACTATTTTTAAGACTTGAAATCTTTTTATTTTTATTTTTATTTTATCATATCCATAGGTCGAAATGATCAATTTGAGGGTCTTTCATGGTTGAATCACTCGTTTTTAGTAGAATTTTGAGATGTGCCTAGCCACAACATAAGGTGTTATCAATATAAATTAATAAATACAAAAATACATATGGAAAGAGTTTGTATATGGTCCCCTCCTTATCTTGTAGAAATAAAGCGTTTACTTAGTGATGTAGTTCAGCTATCTGAAACCTTATTGATGAGAGTTCACTTTTATTGAAATTTAAAATTTTGAAAATAGTACAGATCAAGCAAATCTATAAATACTTGAAAATCTTGAAAATGGAAAATCTAGATAACTTATTATAAGATGCATTATTTTCTAGACCTAAAAATTCTTTTTATTATTCATATCCCACATCTTGAGGTCGAGATGATCAATTGGATGGTTCTCATAGCACCCTCTTTTAGAGGTTTTTTGAGGTGCATCTTACCTTAATAGTGTAAGGTGGCAACCTTATATAAACCTTCAACAATAAATATTTTCGTATTGGGAACGTAAATTTCACATGGAGAACATAAAGAGGAAAAATACATGCAACAACCAAAAGGCTTTATTGCGAGGGCAAACAAGGGCTTATATGCAAATTAAAGTACGTCATTTTATAGGCAGATATGTTTATGACTAGCCTTGATTATACAAGGAATAAGTAAAATCATATATATATATATATATATATATATATATATATATATTATTTTCTATTATTAACTAAAATTAACTTACGTACTACTTTATTTTACTTTAAACTTTTACAACCTAAAACTT